GGTGTATCCCAGGTGCCCCCAGGTGCCCCCAGGTGCCCCCAGGTGCGTCACCTGCTCCAGGGCCTCGGCCAGGTGCCGGTCCAGCCGCCCCTCGCGCTTGCGCAGTTTGGCGCTGTCCCACTGCAGCCCCTCCAGCGTGGTGCCCAGCTCCAGCACCTTGGTCTCGGCCCAGCCCGCCTTGTCCTGCAGCTCGGCCAGCTGGGACAGGTGAGACAGGTGAGACACAGGTGAGACACAGGTGAGACACAGGTGAGACGGGTGGGGCGAAAAAATCCCGAAAAAAATGCAAAAAAAACCGAGATTTTAGCCCAAAAATGGAATAAATTGGGGTCATTTCACTGCAAAGCTCCTGGAGGATTCACCTGGGACAGGTGAGACAGGTGAGACACAAACAACACAGGTGAGACACAGGTGACAGAGGTATGACACAGGTGACACAGGTGAGACACAAATGACACAGGCGGCACAGGTGAGATATGGACAGGTGACACAGGTGTGACACAAGTGAGACAGGTGAGACAGGTGTGACACACAAGTGACACAGGTGTGACACAGATGACACAGGTGTGACACACAAGTGACACAGGTGACACACAGGTGACACAGGTGTGACACAGGACAGGTAACACAGGTGACACACACATGACACACAGGTGAGACAGGTGAGACACAGGACAGGTGAGACACAGGTGACACAGGTGAGACACAGGACAGGTGACACAGGTGACACAGGTGACACAGGTGTGACACAGGTGATACAGGTGAGACACAGGACAGGTGACACAGGTGTGACACAAGTGACACAGGTGAGACACAGGTGTGACACAGGTGACACAGGTGACACTCCGGTGACACAGGTGACACAGGTATGACACAGGTGTGACACAGGTGTTACACAGGTGACACAGGTGTGACACAGGTGACACAGGTGACACAGGTGACACCCAGGTGACACAGGTGGCACAGGTGTGACACTCAGCTGACACAGCTGACACAGGTGTGACACAGGTGACACAGGTGACACAGGTGTGACACAGGTGACACAGGTGACACAGGTGACACAGGTGTGACACAGGTGACACACAGGTGACACTCAGGTGACACTCAGGTGACACGGGTGGCACAGGTGAGACGCAGCTGACACTGAGCTGACACAGGTGAGACGCAGCTGACACAGGTGTGACACAGGTGACACGGGTGGCACACGCGTGGCACACGCGTGACTCGCACCTGCAGCGCCTCCCTCTGGTGCTTCTCGTGCAGCGCCAGCGTCAGCTCCTGCAGCCGCCGGTGCTCCCGCAGCAGCTCCCGCAGCAGCTCCCGGCCCGGCTCCGGCAGCTCCGCTGCTCCCGAAAATCCCGGATCACACGGAATTCCCGGAATTCCGGAGGATCCGCCCCAAAAAAACAAAAATCCCGCGAAAAACGGGCGAAAATCCCACAAAAAACGGGCAAAAACAGGTGAAATTCCCCCAAAAAAAGGACCGAAATCCAGGAAAATCCCAGCAACAATAACCCCAAATTCCAAAAAAAATAATCCAAAGAATCCCCCGGAATTACCCAAAATTCCCAAAAAAATCCCGCGAAAAACGGATGAAAATCGGGCGAGAAACGGGCAAAATTCGGGCAAAGACGGGCGAAAGTCCCGCAAAAAAAGGACCGAAATCCAGGAAAATCCCAGCAAAACTCAACCCAAATCCTGAAAAATTCCAAAAAATCCCCCAGAATTACCCAAAATTCCCAGAATTCCCAAAAAATTCCCACGGAAAACGGACGAAAATCGGGCGAAATTCGGGCAAAAACGGACGAAAATCCCCCGAAAAAAGGACCGAAATCCAGGAAAATCCCAGCAAAACTCAACCCAAATTCCGAAAAATTCCAAAGAATACCCCAGAATTACCCAAAATTCCCAGAATTCCCAAAAAATTCCCGCAAAAAACGGGCGGAATTTGGGCAAAACCAGGCAAAATTCCCAGAAAAAAACTGACAAAATTCCCGAGAAAAACGGCCCAAAATCCAGGAAAATCCCAGCAAAACTCAACCCAAATCCTGAAAAATTCCAAAAAATCCCCCGGAATTACCCAAAATTCACAGAATTCCCAAAAAAATCCCGCGAAAAACGGCCAAAATTCCAGCAAAAAAGGCCCAAAATCCAGGAAAATCCCAGCAACAATAACCCCAAATTCCATAAAAAAAAAAAAATCCAAAGAATCCCCCGGAATTACCCAAAATTCCCAGAAAAATTCCCGCAAAAAACGGGCAAAATTCCCACAAAAAATGGCCAAAATTCCCCCAAAAAATGGGCAAAATTCCAGCAAAAAAATGGATAAAATTCCCACAAAACTGGACAAAATTCCCGCAAAAAACGGCCCAAAATCCAGGAAAATTCCAGCAAAACTCAACCCAAATCTCGAAAAATTCCAAAAAATCCCCCGGAATTACCCAAAATTCCCAGAATTCCCAGAAAAATTCCCACAGAAAACGGGAAAAATTCCAGCAAAAAACTGACAAAATTTGGGCAAAAACGGCCAAAATTCCCGTGAAAAATGGACAAAATTCCCAGAATTCCCAGAGGATCCCCCAAAAAATTCCCACAAAAAACGGATAAAATTCCCTAAAAAAACAGACAAAATTCCCCCTAAAAAAACAGACAAAATTTGGGCAAAAATGGTCAAAATTTCCGCAGAAAATTGACAAAATTCCCACAAAAAAATGCCCAAAATCCAGGAAAATTCCAGCAAAACTCAACCCAAATCTCGAAAAATTCCAAAAAAACCCCGGAATTACCCAAAATTCCCAGAATCCCAAGAAAAATTCCCACAAAAACCAGCCAAAATTCCCGCAAAAAATGGACAAAATTTGCCCAAAAATGGACAAAATTCATGCAAAAAAGCCTCAAAATCCAGGAAAATCCCGGCAAAACTCGTCCCAAATTCCCAAAAAATCCCCTGAAATCCCAAAATCCCCAAAACCCGGAGAATTCCCAGAAAATTCCCATAAAAATTGCCCAAAATTCCCGCCAAAAAATTGCCCAAAATCCAGAAAAATCCCAGCAAAACTCAACCCAAATCCCCAAAAATTCCCAAAAAAATCCCCCGGAATCACCCCAAAAATTCCCCAAAATTCCTTCCAACCCAACCGGAATTCCCGAAATTCCACCGGAAATTCCAAAATTCCACCGGAAATCCCAAAAATCCCCAAAAAAATCCCAAAAAAATCCCCAAAAATCCCCTTTGAACCCCCCCAGGTGTCCCCCCAAAACCAGCCCCAAAATCCCCATTTTTCACCCGATTTTCACCCGGTTTTTTTTGTCTTGCCCCTCCCAGCTGTGCCCAGCTGTGCCCAGGTCTGCCCAGGTGTGCCCAGGTGCCCTCAGGTGTGCCCAGGTGTGCCCAGGTGTGCCCAGGTGAGTGCCCAGGTGTGTTTTTACCCCCCAAAATCCCCAATTTCACCCAATTTTCACCCGGTTTTTTTCCCCCCTCCCCTCCCAGCTGTGCCCAGCTGTGCCCAGGTGTGCCCAAAATGCGCCCAGCTGTGCCCAGGTGCCCTCAGGTGTGCCCAGCTGTGCCCAGGTGAGTGCCCAGGTGTGTTTTAGCCCCCAAAATCCCCATTTTTCACCCGATTTTCACCCGGTTTTTTTCCCCCCTCCCCTCCCAGCTGTGCCCAGGTGTGCCCAGGTGCCCTCAGGTGTGCCCAGATACCCCCAGGTCTGCCCAGGTGTGCCCAAAATGTGCCCAGGTGCCCTCAGGTGTGCCCAGGTGTGCCAGGTGTGCCCAGGTGAGTGCCCAGGTGTGTTTTACCCCCCCAAAACCCCCAAAATCCCCAATTTCACCCAATTTTCACCCGGTTTTTTTCGTCCCGGCCCTCCCAGCTGTGCCCAGATATCCCCAGGTCTGCCCAGCTGTGCCCAGGTGTGCCCAGCTGTGCCCAAAATGTGCCCAGGTGTGCCCAGGTACCCTCAGGTGTGCCCAGCTGAGTGCCCAGGTGTGTTTTACCCCCCAAAATCCCCATTTTCCACCCCATTTTCACCCGGTTTTTTTTGTCCAGGTGTGCCCAGGTGTGCCCAGGTGTGCCCAGGTGTGCCCGGTACTCACGGCGGGCGCTCAGGTGCCCCCCCAGGTGCTGCAGCCCCCGCTGGGCCCGGCCCAGGGCCCCCCCCAGCCTGGCCACGGCCTCGGGGGCGAAGCTGAGCCGGGGCGGGGGCGGGGCGGCCGCGCCCTCCTCGGGCCCCGCCCACGCCTCTGGAAACCATTGGCCCATGCTAATGTATGCAAATGAGCCCCCCCGGCCGAGAAATGCCCCGAAACGAGCCAAAAACACCCAAATTTCCAACCAACAACCCCCAAATTTCCACCCAAAAATCCCAAATTTCCACCCCTAAATCCCCAAAATCCCAAATTTCTCGCCTTAAGTCCCCAAAATCCCAAATTTCCACCCAAAAATCCCAAATTTCCACCCAAAATCCCAAATTTCCACCCCTAAATCCCAAATTTCCACCCCTAAATCCCAAATTTCCACCCCTAAATAGCAAATTTCCACCCCTAAATCCCCAAAATCCCAAATTTCCAACCAAAAACCCCCAAATTTCCACCCCTAAATCCCAAATTTCCACCCCAAAAATCCCAAATTTCCACCCCTAAATCCCCAAAATCCCAAATTTCCCCCAAATATCCCAAATTTCCACACCCAAACCCCTAAAATCCCAAATTTCCACCCAAAAACCCCCAAATTTCCACCCCTAAAGAGCAAATTTCCACCCCTAAATCCCCAAAATCCCAAATTTCCCCCCAAAATCCCAAATTTCCACCCCTAAATCCCCAAAATACCAAATTTCCACCCCTAAATCACCAAAATCCCAAATTTCCACCCCTAAATCCCAAATTTCCACACCCAAATCCCTAAAATCCCAAATTTCCAACCAAAAACCCCCAAATTTCCACCCCTAAATCCCAAATTTCCACCCAAATCCCCAAAATCCCAAATTTCCAACCAAAAACCCCCAAATTTCCACCCCTAAATCCCAAATTTCCAACCAAAATCCCTAAAATCTCAAATTTCCACCCAAAAATCCCAAATTTACACCCAAAAATCCCAAATTTCCACACCCAAATCCCTAAAATCCCAAATTTCCAACCAAAAACCCCCAAATTTCCACCCCTAAATAGCAAATTTCCACCCCTAAATCCCCAAAATCCCAAATTTCCACCACAAAATCCCAAATTTCCACCCCTAAGTCCCCAAAATCCCAAATTTCCACCCCAAAATCCCTAAAATCCCAAATTTCCACCCCTAAATCCCAAATTTCCACCCCTAAATCCCCAAAATCCCAAATTTCCCCCCAAAATCCCAAATTTCCACCCCTAAATCCCCAAAATCCCAAATTTCCACCCCTAAATCACCAAAATCCCAAATTTCCACCCAAAAATCCCAAATTTCCATCCAAAAATCCCAAATTTCCACCCAAAAATCCCAAATTTCCACCCGTAAATCCCGAATTTCCCGTCCTAAATCCTCAAAAATTCTCCTGAGATCCCAAAGTTTTTTTGAAAGCCCAAAAATCCCCAAAAATCCCGAATTTTCACCCAAAACCCCAAATTTCCACTCAAAATCCCAAATTTCCACCCCTAAATCCCCAAAATCCCAAATTTCACCCCGAAATCCCAAATTTCTCACCCTAAATCCCCAAAAATCCCAAATTTCTCACCCTAAGTCCCCAAAATCCCGAAATTTCCCCCCAAAATCCCGAATTTCCACCCCTGAATCCCCAAAACCCCAAATTTCCCCCCCAAA